ATATGCCATGTGTTGAAAATATATTGGTGTAAAAGACAAACAGGGCTCTGACCCTCCCAGTTTAATATGATGAAGCAAGTATTAAATACCCTCTATTGAACAAGTAAGTTTTAACACACACTAAAAGCACCAGCTCCTCCCTGCCTAGAGCAGGGTTCCTCAATCTCAGTATTACTGACATTTTAGGTGGGATAAGTCCTTGTTGTGGAGGCAGTGCTGTACAATGTAGGATGCTTAGCAGCAACCTTGACTTCTACCCACTGGATGCCAGGAGCAATCCCTGAGTTGTGATAATCAAAAAATCTCCAGACGTTGTCAAATATCCCCAAGTGCTGTCGGTCCCCTAACTTTGATTTTTCTATTCTTTCTTCAAATCTCAGCTCAAACTTCACTTCCTCAGGGAGAGCTCCCTGTCCTCTCACACTACATCCACGCCTTCGATTCTGTGCTCTTCCTTACTCTACTCGGTGCTAACCGAGTAATTACCCGCTTAGCATCTACTTTCTCTCGGGACTGTGCGCTGTATGAAAGGACACTGCCTCCCGCCGTCCAAATGGCACAGGACAGGGCCTGTCCTTTACACAGGTACAGCAACTGCTGTGGCGTGAAGGACGGAGTAGAAACCATGGCGATAAACACCGAAGGGGCGTGTGTGGAGCATTATATTAAGAAGCCCAAGCAGTGAGAGGCTAAGGGGGAACGGCTTAGTTGCTATGCGCATGCGCTTTCGCTCTCCCACGCCGTCTCCCCGCCCCCCCCAACCCCGCAACCCCTAGAGGTAGGTAGGTCGTGCGTGTCTGAGGCTCCTCCAAGGTTTCCCAAGGTGAGGTAGGGTTTGTCAGTCCGACGGAGGTCCCCGAGGAGAGGAGGACTTACGTGTGCCAGAAAGCGGGCGACGAAATGCCTCACTCAGGGACACCAACTGCGCCCACCACGTCGGCCACAGGCAGCGATCCCGTCGCTCAGCTCTCCCAACGGCCGTTACACGCCCGCCTGGCCGCGCGCCTCAGAGCGCGCCGCCCGGCCCCACCCCTTTCTGCCCGCTGGCGACCAATCAGGAGTCGGGCCGCGCCCGTGTCCCGCCCCGGCATGCTGCGCTGGGCTCCGAGAGCAGAAGGCTCTCTCTGCGCATGACCCCGCCTCCCCGCGAGCCTTCCGCTCCGGAGCTTGCCCGGGTCTCGCCTCTGGGCGGAGTCGGGCTCACCGAGGCCTGGAGCGAGTTGCTGGGAGTGTGCAGGTCGGGAAGCGGGCCGCCAGAGCAAATCTTTCGGGGAAATCCCATCCAACCTGCCCCACCCTCCTCCCATTCCGCACCCCTAATCTGCGCTCCCAGTTGAAGCTGTAGTTCGGGTGTGGGTTACTGCCGCGTCGGGGTTAGGGCTCAGTCTGTGCCTGGGGTCAGGGCTTGGGCGGGCTTGGAGTCAGCTGGCAATTTGTCGCCAGGACTCAGGGTGAAGGATCAGTCTCGCCTTCCTACCCAAATTCAGTTCCCAGAAAAAGGAATTAAGTTCATTTACATCGATATATATTTAAGAATCATACTTGGAAATTGTTTAAAGGAGGAACAAAGCCATCAGCCAAAGGAAATTCCAGGGTATCTGGAAACCTGACTTGGGAGGAAGAGGCATTAAACAGTTGTATGATTTTGTGAGAAGAATTTATCTGATTCTTAACTTTGAAGAGCCAGACTAAAGAGCTTTAATACTGGATCAAATTCGTCTGGAGGAAGGACTCTGGGGTGTGCCCCAGGATTCTATCTCCACCCTCATATTTTAAGAATAAAGAAGGGTCCTGGCCGGTGTGGCTCAGTTGATTGAGCATCCGCTGGTGCACGGATAGGTGGCAGGTTTGATTCCCGTCAGTGCACGGATGCCCAGGTTGCAGGCTGGTCCCCACTGGGGGCCTGTGCTAGAGGCAGCCAACCATGTTTCTCTTTCACATTGATGCTACTCGCTCCCCCTCTCCTTTCCTCTCTAAAAAATCAATAAAATAAAATAAAAATCAATAAAGACATAAAAAAAAAGAATATAGAAGGCATAAAATAGATTTCATGGATAATGAATCTGGGTGTGATATGATGGATGAATTTAGGGAGTATCCTCTGAACTTAGAAATTGTTAAAATATTAATGGTAAGGATAGGTGTCTAAATTAATAAATTTGTGGATTGGTGGGTAGGAAGTAGACTGGTAGGTGATAGAAAAATCCACTAGACGGCTACTATTTCTCTTGTGAAAAGCATCTGTAAGGAGGGAGGGAACAGGGACGTGTAGAGGGCTTCGAAGAATCGGGAGGATTTGAAGAGTTGATGCAGAGAATGGAAGAGGAACCTGACTGGAAACACAGTGAATTGCTGAGATTTAAATTTACAAATGGCAATAAAATAATATTGAATGTCAACTGTAATTGAAAAATAAAATTAAAAGAAAAATAATTTACAAATAGCAAACATATATTTTAAAAGGAACTTACAGTACCAATTTTAAAATGTGAATGACTTCTCATTTATATTTTAACAAAGACTTTTGGTGTTAATTTCAGAGAATATTCACGATCATATTTTAGATATGAGATGTTCTTAAATCTTCAGTTACCTTATTATTTTATTTTATTATTTTTTAAAAATATGTCTTTATTGATTTCAAAGAGAGGAAGGGAGAGGGAGAGCGGTAGAAACGTCTATGATGACTCATCATTGATCGGCTGCCTCCTGCGCGCCCCCTGCTGGGCATCCAGCCCAAAACCGGGCATCTGACCTGACTGGGAATCGAACCACAATCTCCTGGATCCTAGGTTGACGCTCAACTGTTGAGCCATGCCTGGCCGGGCTTCATTTTTCAATAAATATATCAATGGAACTGTCACCTGCAATGACTAAAAAAAGACCAAAGTTGGCCAGATATGCCCCACCCCAACTTAAGCAAAGAAAACGAGAAAATAAACTAATTGCATCTTAGTTCTAATAAGAGCTACTGCTTTCACTTTCATTAAGTGTTGTCTGGTGGTTTATTTTAAAAGCATCTATTGTTACACAGAACAGAGGGTTTTTTAACTGGTCAACTAAGTATAGCTTAAGTTCAATAGCTTCCTTGTTCACTTCTGTTTCATTCTATTTTCTTCTTGAGATACGTAAGCATAGTATAGTCAATATTTTGCCCTTTTCCTTCAGGATTTATTTTATTTTTGTACTCCTCACCCAAGGATATGTTTTTCATTGATTCTAGAGAGAGAGAAAGGGAGAGGGAGAGAAAAAGGATGGCTGTGCTCACATTATAGGATCTTTCTGGGAATACTATCTAATTTTCCACCACCTTCTTCCCCTCTCTGGCCAGCCAGGAGAGGGGTGTGAGTGTCCCCAGGGAAAGATAGATGGAAAGGGTGTATGTGGATACCCACAAGGTAGATTGAGGGCTCCATCCCCAATAAATAGCAGTAGCAGCAAAAGCTGCCTGCTGCCCATAGCTCTGCTGGTTGATGATCCTGGAGGGCACTGGGAAAAGTCCTGGTCCAAACAGGGGAATGACAATGGCTCCAAGATAGTGGGGCACTGCTGGCACTGATGCCACCTTTCACCTGCCTGCTGAGTATATGACCCTGTCCTCAGGTGCCCAGACTTTTCTCCAGCAGACCCCAGGCGGCTTCTCTGGGGTGAAACCAATGCTGATAGGAAGGGGATGGAGGGTGGAGTTTCCCGTCAGCTTCAATCAGTGGGCCTCTAGGGACTCCCATTTAAAATGTTGAGTATTCCCAAGGTCCCTAATTGCCAGTCTTTGCTGAATAGCTGGGCAGAACTCTGGGCCTTCCAGCCTTCCCCTCCACGCAACACCAGGCACCTGAGTCTCAGAGACGTGGCTTATCTCACCTGTCTCCCAACTCCTGGGCTGAGAGTTGGCCATTTGATTTTAGAGCTAGAGACCAATCTCATTCTCTCCACATTGCACAGATTGGGAAAATGAGGACCAGTGACTTGCCTGAGGACCAGAATCTTGTCCTCCAACACATTTCTTCCTATCGCCCATGACTGCCACAGCTTTCTCAGACTCTCTGTGTTGCCTAGCTCTAAAACCTGCTGTGGCTCTCAATGGTGTTTGGTGTGGAGGTCCCAAACAGGCCTTGCAGATGCACAAGTTCCCCACCAGGCTTCATTGACCTGATCCGCAAACTCGCCCTGCTGTCTTCCAATAAGCTTCAGTGCTCCTCTCCTCTAGCAAGTCTGCCAGGACTCACTCTTGGCCCAGTCATTCTCCATTGCCCCAAGATGGAGCTTCCTGTACCTGCAGGACTTGGTCAGTGGCGACCCCATTAGACTAGGGCTCCCCAGAATGAGGACCAGTATCTTCCATCCTAAGACAGAGAGGGTAGGGCTGGCTGTCTTCTGCATCAGGCAGGAGGTCCCAACCTCCAAATTTTAGGACTCTAAGGGCAGGGATTATATCTCTACCATTAAGTCAGAATTATTTAGGGTACAAATTCTCTCTCCCATTAGACTGGAAGCTCTAGAGGGTAGTCAGTGACTCTCCCATGAGACAAATAGGCCTTTGAGAGGCAAAATCTGTCTTGCCCCAAGGGGTTGGAAATCCACCAGTCAGACACATTGATCCCAACACAAAATTTTATTGTCAATACACAGATGCCTGGCCGTACTGGCCTCACCTTTCTCCTCTTAGTTCTTGGGCCCACTTAGGCCCCATCTAGCTCTGGCCTAGAATGCGGGACTGGGGGGGGCCCTCCTTAGGCCAAATCCCAACTGTCTTGGCCAGCACTCCCTTGCTGTAGGGCTCCCCCTCCCATCCAGCGTCCTTCTCCATCCTGGCTCCTCTGGTCCTGGGGCTCACAGGCACAGGCCCTAGAGATGACACCACCTCCATAGCCCGAGGCATCACTCCAGGTGTAAGGGAGAGAATGGGCTCAGGCCAGGCTTAGCCAAGTCATGCTTGGGATGCAGGAAGATGCAGCGGCTGGGTGTGTGCGCATAGGCCCCTTGGCTTCCCTCCTGCCCTCTCAGCGGCTGCTCTTGCTCTTGTACTTTTTAAGTACATTTGTGTTAGATTCCTGAACCTGCAAACCAAGAGGTCTTGTCAACACCCTGCCCTGACATGGCATATGTTCCTTACTCCACTCCTCCAGCTTCAAGGGTGCCCCATCAAGGCCTCCCAGGGAAGTCCTTCATATGTCTACCTCTAGCCTGCCTAGTATCCTCTCTGAGCTTGGGAGCCCAGAGATGGTGTGGGAAGCAGAAACTAACGTGGGTGTGTGCCTTTTTCTCCCTAGAAGCTTCCCCCTCAGGAGGAGGCTGTTCTTATGCACCCTCAACAGGACCCAGGGGTCCTCTGCCATCAGTGGGCCAAAGTATCTGCCATTAAGCAGGAACTGAGCTGGCCCAAGCCTCTCTAGGAAAGAGCAGGTTTGAGGGAACTAGAATCTGAAGGGGCTCAATGGGGGTATGTGACTGGAAGGGGCAGGGCATCTTGGAGAAGGAAAGGTGGAACCCACCCCGACTGGCAGGTTGGCAGTGACTGCTGGGGTGTAGGAGTTTAGGGGGCGGGCCTTGGAATAGACAGAAACCTTGAGTAATTTGGCAGAGACTAGGCAGGGCTGGGCTGGGTAGGACGGCACCGTGGGCACAGATCGGGTAGGAGACGGAAGCTGCACCTTTTCCCTGTTGACGAGCGCAGTGATCAAGTCTTGCTGGCTAGTAATCTCATGGATGTCCACGGACGGCTTGCTCTCCATCGACTGGGTCTTGGACTTGTGCCTTTGCAACAGCTCCTCCTGCTGCTCCTGGTTGAAGCGGATGGAGTGTACCTCCTCCACTATCCTGGGGGCGGAGGGGTGAGTGCGTTCCAGGGAAAAGGGGGGCAATCCTTCCACCTTTTCCCTGGTGTTCCCCCCCCCCCC